TTGCAGCGTATTTTAATTATATTCATAAGCTCTCTACTCCCTCCTCTCAAAATCTGTTACTTTCTGCTCAAAAATCAAAATAGTACTTTGCTTGTTGGAGACATAGGTTTTATTTATAGTCCCTCATGTCTGATGATGCTGAATACCTTTGCAAATATTTAATCTTCTTTTACTTATCCTTTAACAATTTCAGTCATTTTAATTGTGCTAACATTCGATTATTGAGCTGCCCAGTTCCTTCGTCTGTCTAGACACCTCTTCTTTTTCAGATGCATGGTTTATGTACCTTTGCTCCAGTCTATGGTTTGACTCTTCATTTCTTTACTCAGTATCTTGATAAATCTATATTATACTTTTGACATGGCATAATTTATCACTTCTGTAGTTTATATTTATGCAACCTAAGAAACATTTTCTTTCCTGAGCAAGGCATAATTTACCACTTCTATATAGAGCATGCTCTATTTTTTTCTAGAAAATGTTTTATTTGAGCTTTTATATCTATGATTCATCATGAGTTAATTTTCGTGTATGGTAAGGGTTAATGTAGGGGTTAAACTTTTGTACAGTCAGTTGAAATATGTTTCTTCTTATACCATATTCTAACAGAAATTATAAGAAATTGTCAATATATCCTTATAAATTATTTTAAATAACTCATTGAAGACATCTAGACTTGAAATTTTCTTTGGAGGTAAGATTTTTTTTTTTTAATCTTTTTGAGACAGGGTCTCCCTGTAGCCCCAGCTGTCTTGGAACTCACTATTTAGACCAGGCTGGCCTTGAACTCACACAGATCTGCCTGCCTCTGCTTCCCAAGTGCTGGGACTACAGGCATGTGACACCACTCCGGGCATAAGATTTTTTATTACAAATGGAATTTCTTTAGTATAAGGATTTTTTCCACTTTTGTCAGAAGGGATACATTCAGCATTTTCTGTATTAATTTTCATTCATTTTTCTCTATGTTGTCAACCTTACTTTCTATGATTATTCATGTTATTATATTGTTACTTTTTATTTATTTATTTATTTATTTATTTATTTATTTATTTATTGGTCTTTTTGAGACAGGGTCTCCCTCTAGCTCCAGCTGGCCTGGATTCGCTATGGAGACCAGGCTGGCCTTGAACTCCCAAAGATCCACCTGCCTCTGCCTCCTGAGTGCTGGGATTAAAGGCGTGCAGCACCACGCCCAGCAATGTTGTTACTTTTTAGTGTCATTCATAAATTGCATCTTTAAAACAGTTTTAAGTTCATAACAAAACTGAACAGAAAGCTCAGAAAGTTCCCATATATCCCCATCTCCCCCATACATTCCCATTCATCTGTATCTCCCCCAAACATTCCCATATATCCCTGTCCCCCGACACATTCCCATTTATCTGCGTCTCCCCCACACATTCCCATATATCCCTGTCCCCCCACACATTCCCATATCTCCATCTCCCCCACACATTCCCATTCATCTGCATCTCCCACACACATTCCCATACATCCCCATCTCCCCCACACATTCCCATTCATCTGCATCTCCCCCCACATTCCCATACAACCTCATCTCTCCCACATATATACCTCCCAGTATCAACATTCATACCAGAGAAGTATACCTGTGATAATCCATGAACCTGGACACATCATCTTCACTCAAAACCCATTGTTGTTCCAGTTTTTGTTCCTACCAGTGAGCAAAGGACTATGTTTTCTCTATATATACCTCTTTTGTTCCTTATCAGTCGACAATAAAGATGTGAATATCTCTGAATGCTCTGTCATTTGATGCATTTGCCTGCTCTTTCACTGGTACCATACTGTTTTTATTATTGTAACTTTATAGTGAGTCTCGAATGTTGATGACATCTGTCTTCTGATACTGTTCTTATGATGGTTCCTCCACTTTTGTGGAAGAAAAAAGAAGGGGGGTGGTGAGAAGGAAGGTAATTTCCTTTTTACTCTTAGTTCCTGAGGCCTTTTATCACTGACAAGTGATGTTTTCAAATTTTAAGTTTCTTAAAAGTAACTTTACTTCCACAATGGTCCTGAGCCCTGGATGGGTGGAGTTTAAGATAGGAGTCCTGTCCAAGGACCCATACTCTGCAGACTCTTATTCTCTACATTTTGTGGCCTTTTGTGTTCCTGGCTTTCTGTTGCATGAGGGAGCTTCATTGATGAGACTTGAGAGATGCATTAGTGTTCTCCTTACCCCTTGTTCTATGTTCCGTGAGATTGTAAGAGCCAGGAAGGAGGTGCACTACCATATGGAAATAGAGACCTACAGGCTTCTTGCTCATATAAACCTACAGCAGTGGTGACAGCATGTACAAGATTCATGCAACCTCAAGTAGACAAAAACCCAGCATAGAACAGGGGAAATGGCCAGAAGGTCCCAATCTTAGTTGAAGACTTATTGGCAGTTGATTACTGCTGTGTGAGTAAGAGCTGATCTTCTTAAAGGGAAGGACTCTAGATAAGCTGACTAGACCTCAGTGGATAACCTTGCACTGAGGACATCTGGGGACACTAACTTGACATGATAGGTCTTAACACAAATGACAGAATGCATAAATTCCAGTGGGGAGGCTCTGTGTGCCAATAGGGAAGGGGGTATAAAGATAATAAAAATGTTCTATATGAAAGACACAAAATTCAATTAGAAATTTACAAAAATTAACTCTTTTTTCTTATACTATTAGTTTGGAGATTAACTTCAAACACAATAAGAAAGAAAAAAGGAAAGGTGGGAGGGAAAGAAAGAAAGAAGAAAGAAAAAGAAAGAAAGAGAAAGAAAGAAAGAAAGAAAGAAAGAAAGAAAGAAAGAAAGAGGGAAAGAGAAAGAGAAAGAAAGGGTAAGGAAAGAAAAACACAGATATTCCTGAAATAAAATGCTTAGTCGGTTTTAATATTATTGTTCTGTATTGTTTTGGCTCCGTGTAGTAATTCTTAAGTTATTTTATATTCAGAAATTTTACGGATCTTCAGTTTTTTGCAATGTCTTTTCTAGACTTTCTCTTCATTTTATAACATCAGGGTTAATTTGTCATCGCTGTTTCTTAGACTTCATCAGTAACACCTACAGGATCTACAGTTTTATTTTGGTAAGATTTCTTGTAGTAAGTTTGATTTTTTTTTAAGTAATGTAGGGTGGCTATTTTAATGTTTCAAAGTTTCTGTACTTAGACATTTTTATATATTTTTATCTTTCACTTCATTGGGAAATTTCGGCCATTTCTTCTTGCTGTTGCCACATGCTGTCATTCTTTTTCCTTTTGGACATTATAGCTTGTAATGTTCTTCTACTGGCCTCAGAGTTTCTCTTTATTCTCAAAAATCTTTCTCCCAATCTCTATTTGCTTTTATTTTATTTCCTTGAGACAGGGTCTCTCTATACCCCAACTGGACTGGAATTCACTGTGTAGACTAGGCTGGACTTGATCTCACAGAGATCTGCCTGTCTCTGAATTCCAAGTGCCGGAATTAAAGACATGTGCCACCATGCCCAATCTTCTATTTTTTTAAATGAGTATGAGTGTACTGCCTGCATGTATGTAAGTGCACCCGTGTCATGCAATGCCCGAGGAGGCCAGAAGATGGCTCCGGAACCCCTGTAACTGGAGTTAGAGACCATTGTTATCCATCATGTGGGTGCAGGGATTTGAACCCAGGACTTCTGCAAGAGCAGCTAGTGCTCTTAACCATTGAGCTATCTCTCTAACCCCTAGCCCTCTATTTTTAAAATGGTAATTGTCATTTAACTGTGTTCAGCTTACCAACTCAGTCCCTTGAAATCTCTATTCTATTAAGTAAAATTTTAGGGAACTTTTTTTATTTCCAGAATTCCTTCTATCATCCTTTTGAATGGCTTCACCTCTCTGCTCTGATGTCTACCTCTGTAGACATTGTGAGTATATTTTTTGTATCTTGCTGCACTTTAATGAGCACATCTCTTCAGAGTCTTTCTATACCAATTGCAATCCTGGAGTCATGTTAAGATTGGCATATGATGATCATCTTTGTTCTGGAGAAAGGATCACATTTTTTCTCATTCCTCATATGTTGAACAAATTTTAGTTGCATTCTGGACATTGTAAATGACACAGTGTATATACTATCATAGCCCTGTTGCTGGTTAGCTTGATTGGAATCACACTGTAAGTTCTGCAGCAGCTCAAATCTCAGCTCAGTCCTTTCATGCTTAGCTGGGTTTTCTTCCACACATACAGGTTTTAGTGCTTAGCCAGAAAATTGTCTAGAACCTACAGAAAGAATTGGAGTTCCCCCTTTCTGACTCTTCTTCCAGGACAGCCCCTCACTTTCCAGTATTCCATGTTGTCACTCTGTCAGCTTGTGTCTCAGGCAAGAAATCTGCAGTATTTCATCATAGATTTGTCATGCAACATGGCTACTAACTGTAGCCTGCCCTCAGGCTTCTCTCTTTACAGCCACAAACTCTCCCCAGTTCCAAGGACCACATCTGCATATGACAATGGCTGGCATAAGAAAACAGACATGTCTTTTTATTTATCAGTGAAGTTGCCAGAAACCTTTCCTTTGTGCCAGATCTGTGTCACATGCCCATCCTAAAACCAGTCACCAGCAAAGACAATGGTGTGGTTATGTTTGGCTTAGTGAGTTCTATGGTATGAGATCGAGGGTTGGCTCTCCAAATAAATCAGTGGCTCTACCACAAAGGAAAAAGCTAGTAACCGGTCTTAGATAGGCAGCCAATTTTGTCTGCTACAGAAATTTCTACATTACAAAATTCTAGAGGATAGTTTTCACACATACTAACACAGAAATTGTGGGCCCCACAATTGTGCAATGCAATGCTGCTAAAATTAATTACTAGATGATTTTATAAAACTAAAGTTGAGAAATTTATGAAATAAAAAAACTGGTTTTAATTCCATCTCACTGCAGAACCACTTAAATGGATGTATGAACAGTGTTGTTGAAGAATTCAAAATGTATAGGTGATTAGACACAGAGCCCAGACACGCTGAAGAATAAAGTCTCACTTTAATTCCCAGGGTATCAATAGCAGGGTGGGGGGGGGCAGCGGTGTGGAACCAACATCTGCCTTTGAAAGCAGAACATAGAAGCAGAGGATTCATTCTCATTTGAGTATACATTCCAAACCCCAAAGCTTCTAGTATAAGTAATAAAGGTGGTTACCTAAAAAAGAAAATCACAAAGATATCAAGGCAAAGTATTGTTGTCTTAGATATTTCCAACACAGCTATCTCCAGACCTTGATGTCTGGTCTTTCAAAACTTCACTGAATCTGGGGATCCAGGGCTTTTCCATACACAGGATTAGGTCAGAATATTGGATATGTCAACTCTGATACTGAAGCAAGTTATTCTCCCTTCCTGTGCTTGGGCATGCATGTCTATGGTCCAGTGCCCCTTCTTCTTCCTCCCTTATCTGATCAGAATAAAGGACTATTCTAAAAACACCTAAATTTCTCTCATAAATCAAATGTAATTGCATCTTGCTGACAATGGGTTTCTAAACCTCCCTTTCTAGGGTTATTTCTAATAACCTATAGCCGTATAGCTTGAGCTCTGAAGCAGAATTGACCTGTTGTTCATGGATGTGGTATACATGTAAATATTGAACAATGTAAAAGTTGTATAAGTCTTTGAGCATTTTTAAACTTTTTTTTAATGGTTCCATGGACTGAATTAGGGCCCTGCCCATGCTAGGCAAGCGCTCTGTCACTGAGCTACACCCTCAGTGCTTATTGTTTCTTCCATTAATCCCAAATGCCCTAGCAGGCTGGCTTCTGTTTTCTTGTTTTGTTTGTTTTGTTTTCACAACACTGGGGATTGAACCCAGGCTCCTGTGCATGCTTGGCGTGTATTCTGTGCCACTGACCCAAATCTTTGTTTCTTTCTTTTTTACATTTTATTTGAAATGGGCTTCTGTTAAACTGCTGAGACTGGCTTTGAACTTGCTCTGTAGACCACATAGGTCTTCAACATGGTATCTTTTTGCCTCAGCCTCCTGATTAGCTGGAGTTACAGGCTTACATTACCAAGTCTGGATTTAGTACTCTGTATCTTTCTAGGATTCAAAGCAGGACAAGATGTCTAACTAGAGATCCTTGAAGGAATTTTATGTGTGTGTGGATATCTGTATATGCACTTCAATGCATCAATAACAGGAATAAATAGGGGGATTCCCATAATAAGCTTATAATATGGAAAAACATGGGAATAGGCTAGTTCTCACATATATGTTATCTATAGCAAATATAGCTATAGTAGTGAAAATGTGCTAGAATCTAGACAGACAAATAAGAGAATTAGATGCTCCATCCACAAATGAGTATGATGACACCAGTGTCAAAGGCAAAGACTATTTCTTTCTCACAGGTTGACTAAGACTTTCTCCTAAGGCCCTTTTTCCCTTTGCTAATAAAATTTAATATCAAAGTATCCCAGTCTCCACTAACTGAAACAGTGAGGTGTAAGCCAGAAATGCATCTAGTGGCACAGGCAACAAGGAACCTTTGGAAAGATGCTTGAGCAGAAATGTGTTGTAAAATGGCATCATTTGAATCCTAATTTAGGGAAAATTCATTCCCAGAGAAGGGATGATCTTCAAAAGGTAATGTGCTCACTGACCCTGCATTCTGAAATGCTCCTTTCCTTCTTCCCTGCTTCAGAGCAGGGGTAGGCCTCCTGCTGTTCTTGGGAGTGGTTTCTGTCCCTGGTGTGAGGAAGGGATAAAACCTTTTGCTATGGGCTAGTCTGGGGTATACACAGACTAACTTGTCACTGCCAACCTGACGGCCTAAGGAACTAGACACACCTTCCCCTGAATCACCATTTTTTAACCTGTAAAGTAAGGGCTAGAGGGCTAAAAGGACTGAAGGCTTTTCAAGGGGCAAAGGTATATAATTACTTAGGATGAAAAGGTGAGAAGCGATTGAGGAACTTTGTCTGCTTAGGGATGTATCAATTTCTCTAAGAAATCAATAGTCTGTGAAATGAATGGAATCATCTGTAAATGACCAGCCTAAAAATTATCAGAATTCATGATCCATCTTAATATTTTTCATATAAAACATCCTGATGCTTAACTTCATGATTTAGAGGTAGCTATTACTCCAATTTTAGGCAATTGTCTTTAAATGAAAACAAAATGTTCAAACAATAGCCCCAAGGGTCCAGAAAATAACATCATTAACTCCCTTCCTTATTTTCTACACTAAGCAATAATAAAGATTAATATAACATATAATGTCATGTTTACAGAATAATGATTTAAAGAATAGTAAAGTTTTATCATTGAAATATTTGTTTTTCATAGAAAATTAGTTTTAATTCAGAGTTTTAACTACAGCTTTCTAGAAATTCATTCCATTTATACACATACTTTGCTGAGTTTCTTTTCATTTACATAAAAGTATTTTATTGAACCTGTGACAATCAAAATGATTGACTCATTGGACCTCAAAATCATTAGCAAAATAAAAAGATTCTGGAGTCATCAATCAAAATGCAATCCTAGATTATATATTTCATGAGGGCAAATGCCAAGTATCTTTATCTTTTTACAGTCAAAGACTCCAGTATATCACCTTGCAAGCATGAGATGTTTTACAATGCTTCACATTAAACTACACTTCCTTGTAATCTTGTATATACACAAAAAACACATTACCATACACTGGTTACTTACTGTGGAAAATGTGTGCTGTAGTCTGCAATCAGTGTCCTAACTAGGACAGAAGTCACCCCAGATGATTCAGAAAGGAGACTTTTCATGAAGTTACACTTACCTCTATAATAGTGTATAGTGTAATAAAAGAAACAAGGGAAGATGTTGACAAACCAAAACTAAAGAGGAACTGATACCATGCCTTGTGCTTAAATAACAAGAGGAAGAAATAATACCTTAGGGACTCCATTAGTAGCTGGAGACCTGGAGGAGGAGTCCCTTGAGGAGAAGTATAGATCTGGAAGGATGCAGCTCCTGTCAGAAGCAGAACACAGAAACAAAGAGAAAGATAGGAGGAAATACCCAGAGTTCTTTCTGTGTGCTGATCTTGTAAAGACACCACTGTCTCACTGACAAAGCCAACTGCAAGTCATCTGTCAAAGGAACTTTGGAGAGGCACAGATGTCAGCACAGAGCTGAGAAGAAAAAGAGCATGAATGGATTCCCCAGGGATAAGCCAGAAGCACAGCACAGTAAAATAACCACAACACAATAACTTCTCTTATATTATTCATAGCCATTATATCTTTTGTGTCAAAGTCTGTTAAATAGGGGCAAAAGTTATAAAATTTAGGATGGGTGCTAGGTCAAATTATATTTGATAATATGTATGTTTTAGCAGGAGGCATAAGGGACTGGAGAGATGGCTCAGCCAGAAAAAGCACTTACTGTTCATCGTGGAGGGCCTGGGATCAGCTCTCATAGTGACTCATAACTGCCTGTAACTCCAGTTCCAAGGGATCTGATTCCCTCTTCTGGCCTCTGTGGGCTCCTGCATCCATGTGCTGCACAAATACACAGACTTACACAAATATACATATATTTTAAAATTAAAAAAAAACTATAGAAGATGGATTAGGTAACTCTGATCAGAAAGTAATTAACAGAATCAGCTAGAAAGCATAAAATACCATCCAAGAATCTGAGGGCAAAAGGAAAGGAGAGGAAGGGTGAACTGGCAGAAACAATGTTGCCAGAATCCTCAGCTTGTATGAGAAATCTAGAGCATAGGAATGTGCCAGGAACACAGAGTAGGAAATGATGAAATCTTGATCCTTCATGAAGCCAGTGAACAGAAGCCCCAGTTTCCCTGGGCTCTTTTGTAGAGAACAATCAGAAACAATTTTCAAGAGCCTTTCTCTCTCTTCCCAACTCTCCTCAGCTTCTTTGTTGGTCTTAAGATAACCCTAGGTTTACTATCATTAAAGGCAGAGTGACTAAAATAATTTATTCATCCATATATACATGTATGCATGTTCTTTAAGGGGCATGTTTTCCTATTTTCTTCATTGGTGAGACCCAGAGCTATTCACAAGATCCTGCTAGTACATAATAGGTACTCAATGAGCCTCACTTTAAATTTAAAAATTAAAACATACGAAAAAATAATCACATTGTAAATGTTCGCTTTGTCAAGAAATCAAAATCACCAAGAAAATATTATAATTTGCCAATTAATTTTCAAACAAAATTTTGACATATAAGAAACCCAGAGGGCTTGAATAGGAGACACAGACCTACTGGCAGCCCAGAATGCAAACAAAGCCTTTAGGGACTTCACAGCTTTGTGAAAGGAAGGTTCTGTTTACCTGTGGCAGAGAGGGGACAAGCAGCAACATTATGGAAATGTGTTTCCTGTGTTTGGTACCAATATGCACAGTTCAGCTTTCTGGAATTTTGTTGATTTATTGTGAGCATGCTTTTAACATTTCCATATAGCATTTTTTCTTGTAAAAGATTATTTATTTTTCCATCTTAGTCGTATTTCCTCCTCAGTGGTATATCATCAAATATTTGAAGGCAAGAGAACAGAAAATTTGGTTTCAAACATTTAAAAAGTTTATGCAAATGTCTGTGCTTTAAAATATCAGCCTTTTATGGAAAGTTTAACATGAGGACGTAGAAAACTGACAGAAATTATAGATTGCTTTTCTAAAACATATCATTAATTGTTTGGAGGAGAGTTTACAAATCCATAATAAATTCTAAAGAACACTTGGGTATCCTGAAAATATGTGTTGTGAATTACTTTTTAAATTTCATTTTGCTCATTTTGCTTAAGATAGTCCCCTTTGCCAAAAACACATCAACATTTGTTTTATTTTGGCTGATCAACATTTAGTTAATAATTCAATGTTAAATTGTTTTATTGTTTTTTTTCCTAGCTAACCAATTGAAGCAAAGATATGCTGGTTTTCCATAACTAAACCCTTCTAAGCTTCCTTATCACGTCCATTCTTGCAATTCAGACCTATTAGAGTAAGTAGCAGATGCTCAAGAAAAGGAAAGAGAGGGAAAGAAGAAAAAGAAAGTAAGTAGATGTGTATGGCAATGTTCAGGCTCATATGTAAGGCCTGTCATTTGAGTTCCTAAGTGCACTGTCACCAAGTGACTTCAGCCTCCACACAGTCATCTGTAAAATGCATTAACTCTGTTCAATTCCAGGTTGACTGTATCTAGTTCAAAACCCTAAAGTCAAAAATGTTCCAAAACTCCAAGCTTTTTGAGGATCATCATGACACCACCAGTGGAAAATTCCACATCTGACCTCATAGGCTAAGTTGCAATTGAAATAGAGGCACACTAACATTTTTTTAATCTGTGTGTGTATGTGTATATGTGTATGGTATGTATACATATGTAGTGTATGCACATATGTGTATGCAATACATGTGCCCATGAGTTCATGGAGGCTTGAGAAAGACTTTGGCTGTCCTGCTTAGCAAACTTCACCTAATTCCCTCACGACACAGTCTCTCAATGAACCTTGAGCTAGGCTGTCAACCAGGGATTCTCCTGTCTCTAGCTCTACAACATTAGGATTACAGGTGATCACAGAAATGCCTGGGCTTTTGTGTGTGAGTGCTAGGAATTAGATCTTAGGTCTTCATATTTGCATAGCAAATGCTCTTACCTACTAAGTTATCTCCCCACACCCTTAAAATATTAAACAAAATTGCTTTCAAGTAATGTATATGAAGTGTATTTAAAATGTAAACAGATTGTATACATAGACATGGATTCCATCTGCAAAATACCTCTCAATGTATATACCAATTTTACAAAATTCAACATATCTGAAATCTAAAACACTTCTGGTCCTCCGCATTTTGAATACGGGAGGTACAACCTGTATGACTGGGCTTCCTACTGGCTTTTAAGCATTACCCTACTTTCTGCAGGGTAAAATCATCTTTTCCTTTCAATTAAAGCCCTTAGTTTAAAAACAATAATCATAAACTATCCCTTGTTTAGCCCAAATGTTATTGGTTGTGATCATTACTTCTAGAAGTAGCTTTGGGAGAAAATAAGGTTAAAAAACAATTTCTTACCACTAGCATTTCCTATATCTGTGGATAAGAAAATGGGTACATGCCCCTAAGGTCTACACCACAAGCTTTAAAAAAATAAGGCCTGTGCATGTCAAAATTGTCAAAGATCCTGACTGACTTCGACTTGATTTAGCATTATTTGAAGCAGCTTACTGACATTGCCAATAACATCACACATAATAGAACACATATCTTGTAACTGAGCCACAGATAATGCTGAGCAGCATAAAGAATCCAGAAAATCCATGTTTTAAATGTAAACTGTTCAAAGAAAATCGCTACTGAGGGATCTGGGAGACTGCCTCATGCTAAGGCTTTTATAGGGACCTACCACATTTCAGGATTCTTTAATGGCTCCTCCTCATGATCTTACTTTAAAGTCTCCATAATTCTCAAGATATCACATTTAACAAAAGTTCAGCTCTGTTTTTCTCAATAAAGATTTAGACTAATATTAGACTAATATCAGACTAAAGATTTAGACCAAGATTTAGACTAATGTGTTTAGACCGTGGAAATAGAGCATGCCTTCCAAAGATTGGATAAAAGAGACAGACAGCCTTTTAGAGTTAGTAGGTAGCACTCTAATCTGAAGCTTGTACTGTCCTTTTCAATCTTAGCAGAGAAACAATTAATAAAGGAACCCATTAAGACCTGATTATTGTAGCTAAAAAAAGGAAGGTAGAATTTCAGTCCTTTGAAGTAACTGAGAATGATTCAGGCCTCATTACAGAGATAGAATCTACATTCATACATTTATGTTAGTGATTCAAATCTATTGGGAGAGATTGAATTCCGTTAAATAGTGCATCTTTCCTGTGGAACTTTTCTCAGGCTTTCTGGGACTAACCTAAGAAGTGACCTAACAATACAAAGTAGTGGGGTATTTAGGGATTCAACTGTGCTATAAAAGAAAGGCTGTACAGAAAAGAAAAAGAAGAATGAGATATAATCTAAAAAGCTATGTCAGCTTTTCCTTTGGGCAGTTCAGTAAATGCCCTTCCTGTCATCACGTTGTACAGAGAAGAGGCGAAAGGACTCCAGAACTTTCAAACACTGCACCTGCTACAGCAAGTTTAATGTGGAAGTTTTGAGGATGTCTTTTTCATTCTTTTAGACAGGATAGGAATAAAACTTTTACCTAAAAGATACGTATAGCTTCTATTGGTGCAAAAGTTAATTGTGTATGGGTCTGTGGGGGGTCTGTGGGGGGGGTCTGTGTGGGTCTGTGTGTGTATGTAATATAGCAAGAGAGAGACAGAGACAGAGACAGAGACAGAGACAGACAGAGGTGTTGGTTTGGAGGAGTGCATGGTGTGAATTAAAAAAAAAATTTAAAACCCCCAAGTTGGCATCAATAGTGCTGGTTACAAGTGTAGAGAAACCCCAAAATAATAACTTCCTGTGTTTTGTAATTTTTCACAGCAGAATCTTTATTATATGGTTCCACCAAACATAATTTTTAAAAAACATGTAATTTTAATTAGTTGTCAATTCAAACATTTGGATTCTTCTTACTACTTGGCTGCAACTCAAATCCTTAGAAACTGTACACTCTTTTAAGCATTTGTCTGCTCAGGTATAAAACTGTGAACTAGGAAATTGAAATTAGCACTGTGGGCTCATTTTTCAATATCAATGCTTTAATTAAAGAAGCAAGACTTGTTTGACGCATGCTCTTTATTTGCTTAAATTTCAATTAATAGCTACAGAAATCAGAGCTAATTATATTAAACTTAGAAATCTGCTGTGATGTTTACCACACTGTTGAAATCTTTTGAATAAGCATTGCAATGAGTTATAAATAATGCAATTAAAAGCCTGATTCTGGTATAAAATGATTGTATTTCAAAGGTTCTGAATACACAAGAAAATATAAGAACATGCACGTCAAGTTATTTTTCAAGTCACTAAAATACATTTGGGCAAGCATTAGCAATCCCTATCTCTCAATTTTTTTAATTTTATTTTTTTCTCTAATGCCCAATGAAGACAGAAACCAAATGCACATAACAGGGGTCTGGATTGTATATTCAAGCTCTAGTTAGAAGTTCCTTCTGAATTATAGCTATGGGTCTTCAACTCCCAAGTTCACATTGAAATGTTTGCATCTTAGGTGGGCAGCCTTTTAGGTTATACCATATGAAATAGCCACTTTCCTAAATGAAAAACTGCAAAATATTGACAATTCTATATGCTTCAACAGAAGGCAAATGTCTAGCTGCCTTAGCCAGTATACTAAAACATGCTCCTGCATTCCTTTCAAGTCAAACATCCCCAGTTTAGAATATTTTATTAAGAAAGTGGTCCTCTAGGAACTGTGTCACACTCGAGTTGGAATGGATTATCACAATATTACCTTCCTTGTACCTTTTAACTCTTGACACAGGCTTCTGTCTGTCTACTCCTGGGTTGTGAGCTGGTTTCTGTAAGCAGCCAAGAAGTTGGGGCGGGACTCTGCTGTGCAAGAGTAAGAAGAAAAAGCTCCTAGGTAGGGAAGCTGTGGAGTAAAACAGAGCCCTTTAAACATTACATTTAAAGATAGGGAAAAATCATTACTTTTATGATAAAATGCAAAGGAAATTGCATTGAGAAGAAAACCGTCAGCGGGGTATTTGGTCAAATTGTATGGTAAAATCTTTGCGGTCTCAGTAAACCATGTTCGCTTTGAAGTGCATGCGTGATTCCCTTAAGGACTCATGTTAGCAATTAGAAATCCGTAACTTGGGTCCCTGATTTCGTTTGTGCCAAGAGAGAGGCGACATTTAAGGGTGACGATAAATCTCCCTGAGCTCAAAAGGAAGAGAGGGCCAAAGTGTGAACTTTTTACTTCAGCAACGGAAGCGAGAAATCAATGATTCATTAAAACCGAGACCTCCTTGGAAGCTGGCAGGAGAGGAGGAAAGGAAGCTCATTATGCCTCCCTTTTCTGCGCTAGCTCTGTTCAGTTTCTAATCTGCTATTCGGGAGCGTTTTCCCTCAGCATCTTCTGCCCTCTTCCTCCCAGACCTCTCCCTGCTTCAGGAACCTAGAGGGGAGAAACACAGACACACACAGACGAGAGAGAGAGAGAGAGAGAGAGAGAGAGAGAGAGAGAGAGAGACTCACGCGTGCGCGTGCACACACACACACACACTCACTCACTCTGTCACGCATATACACATTCGCACACACGCACAAAAAATAGCCAAGATCCAAGCTCTATTTTCAGGGCCAAAAGAAAGGGGGAGGGGAAAAAAAAAAACCTACGCTGAAAAACAAGTGAGCAAGGGGCTCCCCGAAGGGAGGGGTTCGGGCTGGAGGACCGCAAAGTTCGGAAAGCAGGAGGGGAACTCGCGCTGGTGGCCTGCGCTGCGAGCCCAGGACGCTGGAGCAGCAATTAGCTGAGGCTGCAGGCTGGGGCGGCTGCGACACCCACAGAGGCAAGGAGGGACCAGCCGCCCCTGAGCTGGGAGCAAAGGCATCGCACACTCCTCTCACTCCACTCCCAGTCCCCCCCCCAACTAGGCCCCTTCCCCCTCCCTATCCCTGTCGTTCCCAGCAGCGCAGGGTTTCAGATGTCCCACCGCCGTTTGACCCCCCTCCCCCCCCTCCTTTTCCACCCCTGCAAATGAGGTTTGACCAGCAGAAACAGAGCCCACCTCTGGCTAAGAAGCACTGACATTTAGACTCTGGGCTTCAACCTGTTTACAAGCGGCTTTCCAAGGGACTAGGGGTGGAGGGTAGGGCCAAACAAAACACCAGCCGCCAGCCGCCCCCCAAACAAGAAGTGGCTTTCTGGAGGCTTCACATCAACAGGCACCACCAAAAAGAGAAAGGAAGAGGGAGAAGAAAACAACAGCGACTGGGCAGCAGCCTCCAGTTCTGACAACTCCAAAGAGACACACTTTTAGAAGTGGCCAACAGGCTGGGACTCTGCAGAGACTGACCAGAAGGTGCCAACCGCAGAGGGACGCAGACATCTCCCTGCACCCCCACCCCACCCACTTTGGGGTTTGTTCACCGTGCTGTCATCTGTTTCTTCAGACCTTTTTTTGCATCTAACATGGTGAAGAAAGGAGTGAAGAAGAGAACAAAGTAACCCCCAGGGAAGCGAAGAGTGTTGGTGACCTGCACCACCAGTTACTACTGCTGCGGCCACCCACGTCCACCATTCACCCGGAGACTGGAGAGGCACAGGCAGCGGATTCGAGAACGGAGCAGGACAGGCAGCCGGCCCTTCCGAGGAGTTATGGATGTTGGTGCATTCGCTTCTGGCCAGATCCGCGCCCAGAGGGAGCTAACCAGTAGCCACCACCTCCAGCTGTCTCCTTGCCTTGCACTAGGTCTTACCCTTCCAGTATGTTCCTTCTGATGAGACAATTTCCAGTGCCAAGAGTTTCAGTACAATGTGGAAATGGATACTGACACATTGTGCCTCAGCCTTTCCCCACCTGCCGGGCTGCTGCTGCTGCTGCTTCTTGTTACTGTTCTTGGTGTCTTCTGTCCCTGTCACCTGCCAAGTTCCTGGTCAGGACGTGGTGTCACCGGAGGCCACCAACTCTTCTTCCGCCTCCTCTTCCTCCTCCTCCTCTTCCTCCTCGTCCTCCTCTTCGTCCTCCTCCTTTTCCTCTCCTTCCAGTGCCGGGAGGCATGTGCGGAGCTACAATCACCTCCAAGGAGATGTCCGCTGGAGAAAGCTATTCTCCTTTACCAAGTACTTTCTCAAGATTGAGAAGAACGGCAAGGTCAGCGGTACTAAGAAGGAGAACTGTCCATACAGTAAGTAACAAATGCATGCTCCCCTCCTTCCGATTACCCACCCCCACCCCATACGGGGGGGGGCAGAATCTGTTCCAGATGTGGCCAGCTAAATATTTATGTCCCCAACCCCTGTAAAATGATTAACTGGAATACTTTCACACTAAATCAGCCCCCCCACACACACACCCTGCATATACATTGCTAAGTCCCCTCCCCTAGGCGAGCTTCCTCCACACCCCCTTACCCATTGCCACCCTATCTGCCCCTTCTCTCTGGTGTGTCACGGCCGACCACTCCTGGCACCCTAGCGTTGTTGCAGTGAGGAGATGCCCCTTTTTAATCTTAATGCCTTCCCCCACCTTCTCAGAAGGTCCCCTCTCCCCTACTTCTGGAAACGGCTCAAGTAAACACATTTTGTTTCCTTTTGCTGGCAATCTTAAGAGTTTGGGGACAAGTTCCTCAAGCTGAAAATAATTATCCACTGTCAATTATAGGGGCTTTATGGGAACTTGAAGGAAGAAAAGCCCCTTCCACTATCTCCCTGCCCCCATCTTCTTGCCCCACCACCTCTAGACAGAAGTCAAAGAGTTTTTCTGGTTTTGATTTTTTTTTTCTCTCTTTTCCGGTCCCTCATGTTGGTTTGAGTGATTGCAGTCCATGAAGTTAGCTTTTCAGGCAGCACCGATGCTATTTGTCTTCTTGCCTTCTCTCTTGGTAACATGATGCTCGTGTCTGCATTGTCAATAGCATATGCCTGCTTTGTGGTGTCCTGTTGTACTGTTTCTTCTGAAACCTCTCATATTGCAGAGCCATACTACTTCAGCACTGTAAACATCTGGGACTGGATTCACGCAGACCTCACACAAATTTCATTGTCATTCTTTTATTTTCAAAGTAAAAGTCATAACTCTGTTTCCATGGCTGTAGCTTATCCCACAGGGTGAGCTTTTCGCCTTAGCACAGATTCTGCAGGAGAATTTCTTTCCTTTCTTCTTTCCCTCTGGTCTTTCTTTCCATCCTTCTTTCTTTCGGGGTGTGGGCTGAATAGGAGGAGGAAGAACGAGGAGGGAAGGGGTGGATACCATGTCTCTTCTTGAATCAACCCAGCCAAGGCAGATTATTCTGTTGGCTTCTTTTCCTGGTTACTTTCAAGTGCTCAGACTTATTCATCCCCATTGATTGTTATTTGAAAGGATCCCAAGGCTATGTAATGACACACTGAAGACAGTACACAATGACATTTAAACATCTTTAATGACCATTTAGCTTTATCTCTTTGGTAAATTCCAAGTCACTTTAAAGGGAGACCTTTTTGTGTAAGTTTTTGGGGAATTCCAAGCATACATTTTCTAGCTAACTTAAGTACAGGGGGTCAAGATGGACATTTCAGGAATCCTTGGCTCAGAATGTATCAGGCACTTAATGAAAATGACAGCTGGCCAGAATTTAGAGTTTTACTTTTTAGTAAAGATTTGCATGAATTAAGTCAGTTTTCTTCTTTGGGAACTCACATTCAAGGTTAAGTTTTGTTCCTTTCCAATTACCTTCATTGTATTTGTTCATTAAAATTAGCAATATGTTTGCAGAGGCATTTGAGAATAGTCTTGTTTCAGGGTTAGAACTGAAAATGTTAAATAATCTGTTATATATGCATATTTCATTTGGACTCTTAGAAAGTAATTAAAATGATCTCATCAATGATTATTACTTTTCCTTGAAAGTCTTTTGCCACCTGAATTCATTAGATACTATGTATAACCTTCATTGTTTGCTGATGATTTAATATTTTTGCTTACATCTGAAGCAAAATTGAGTGGTGGTGCCCAATTAAGAGGAAAAAGACTTGCCTTTATATTGGGTTGCAATGTTTCCTTTCTAAAAATTCTCATGGACTGGATTTCTTCATAATTTTAGTTCACATGGAAAACTCAAAGAAATTTAATAAAATTCCTAAGTCTTAACCTAGAGGTAACTTTATTCATTTTAAATTTTTGATTATTTAATTTTACTGTTGCTCTAAGTGTCTCTTCAATATACTACAACGACCAACCTGTAGTTATTTTGGTTTATGGAACTTAAGCTACTATTTTCTAAAATAATGATCACTGTGCCTTGAACTACTTAGTTAAATGACTTCCAGGGGACACATTGAGTTTTATTTTTATAATATGAACTATTCCAAATGAGGGAATTATGCAATTTTTATTGCATGAACAAGTGCAGCAAATTTCTATCCTAAGAGTTAAAAATTATATCTCTAATATAGGAAAACCTATGCTAATTACTAATAGTCTCTTTTAAATTACAAGCTAAATATATTATATAGGAAGGCAATCTTAATTAATGGCTAGAAATGAAAGGTGGAGGGGTTTATACTGCTAAACATTGTCAAGCCATAACTAATTTAAGCTTTCCAAGAACATCTGTATCAAAACATAGCAAGTGAAAAGTAGAGGCTGAAAAGGCCTTAATTTCACAAGTGGCCCAGTAATCAGAATGCTGCTGTAATTTCCAGCTGAACTGATGCAGTTGAACTACATGGTATCGTTAAGATATTGTCTAAATGTTGCATAATTACATGTGAACAAGCTTCTGCCATGCCTACAGGGTAGCCAGCCAGTCAGGCCACCAAATGGTAGCCTGTTAAGTATGAGGATATCTAACCTCTGAAGAGTTCCTTGTCCAAAAACCACATTTCAGTAACATTTCCCTAAACAAGTTATTAATTAGTCTCAGTACACAAAGCTGCTCTTCAGAGGTTTGCTTATTTGAAGATTATTTTTCTTTGTTACTTTTGACCCTAGTCTTATTGCTGCTAAAATACAGTAACAGCTTATCTAAGGGGTGATATCTTTGTGATGTCCTGGGTAATTAAACAACTGTTTTACTGGCTTGTTGCCAGAAAGTGCTAACAAAAGGGAAGAAAGGAAATCACTCATAAGTATTGCAAAGTGATTTTTAACTTCTTCTTCCAAAGCTAGTATCCCTTTTTGCATAGTGCAAAAAGAGCTGCATGTGCTAAAGGAACTCTTCTCAACTTGAGTGATACTGTTGCTTCTCTCTTTGGGAGGGGTGTATGTTATGCTTGCTCTTTGCCATTATATGGGAGTAGAATAAAGTGAGTATGGGGTAAACTATGTTTCTCATGCTAGAAGTCTGAGAAAGCTTGAATAATTTAGAATAGCTGTGGTGTATCTGTCACTAGATATGTGCAGGCTCATTTAGGTTTTGTTTTATCATTCATTACATCTAGGGCTTTGCCCTTGAAACATTACTACTCAGCTCCACTTCTGGCCTCCTAGAAAGGCTGGATACAGCTGTTAGGTCCCCTTACAACTTGGACTGCTTGACTTATTTCTGGACATGAGTAAAACAACTGTGAGCTTCTCCCATGGTCATCACTTGAAGAAAAGAAGAATCCAGTGAAAGGGAAATGGATCCCCAAACTTGAGACAGCTGAAAATGGATGTTCCCAAAGCACAGGCCCAGAGTTTATGGGCCTTTTTGAAGAGGTGGTTTGAGAGACAGTGAAGAAATCAAATGTCCTGTATGTGGCTTGTACCCCATTCTATTTAAAACTCATCCTAGCCCTGTAGTCTAGATATAAGTACCCACATTTAAAAAAATATGAAATCTAAAGATGTCAAAAGTAGATTGTCCAATTATTCAATTAGAAATGGACAAAAACAGTATACAAATCTAAGCCTGTTTGGTTATAGCTCCTTAAATCATACCTCTTTGTTAATCTTAACGTTAATACCAGTTTATTAGAATCAGATACCCCAAATCTCCTAAAGACAAGGACTCCAAACCTTACTTTGCCTTTTGGTTTGCATACCAATAGATTTTTAGAATTAATTGCAAGAGAAGTAAAATGACTATGGGACAGAAACAAAATATGGTATCACTAATCATTGCAGGTCATAATATGGTATCAGACATGCCAGTGTACTATCTAAATCAGATCTCTGTTTCAATATTGTGTTCGGGAATATAATTGCTTATGGACACACACAAAGTACACATACATCAATCTCACTTATGTTAACAGAGGTCATTAGGAATACATGACTATTTTAGAAAACCCATAAGTGTCATTGTGTATAGTAATTGTTTACAGCTGAGGGCCAAATGCTTAATTGTTCCCATGTGTAATAAAATAATTTGATTGTAAATACCTATGGGAGCTTTGACTATTGCACAACCTTCTAATATAGGACTCTAAAAATGGCAGCATTTTTGAAGTCTAAAACTATATACATAAAGAATGCTATAAAATGAGTCTGCAAGTCAAAAAGATACTTACTACATAAAGATGACAGATTTTCATCTAGGATAAAAGATTTGCATTATTACTTTTTAATCAGGACTCGAGATTATTATTGTAGGAAGTTAAAGTGAAAGAAATAGTTTAAGAAAAGTGGGAGCTCTAGTTACTGTCTTAATGAATACTAAAAGTTTTCTGGGGCTCGGGGACACTGTGGACAATTTATGACTTCCTCTGGTATCTTACTTTAAATTGTGGTTCTTTCTAAAATTTGCTTGCAAAATTTATAACCAGCAACATTTAATCATGAGCATCAAGGATTTATGAAGGTGGGAGGCGCTGTATTTAATGTTTACATGACACTGTTCTGTTACCTTTGCTGCATCTGTACCACTTGGAATCTTCACTTTGATGGCTTTATCATAAATCCATTAAAAATTCACAACTGGAGAATTTTTTTCTTCATAAACCTGATTTATAACTACCTACTGGAAGAACCCAACAAAACAGTAGTCAAGAATGGCATGTTGGTGGAGAAGAATTCGGACACCAATCTCAAGGTCTCAAGAATTCCGATAACCTGTTACCCAAAGGTGTGGATCAGTCTTTAAAATCATGCTTTCAAAATGATTTTGAAGCATGGAATTCTTAAAGAGGAGTCCTATTAAATAAAAAGTCCACTATATACTCATTTTCTTCTAAATTGTCACTCCACAGCTTATAGCATAAAGTTTTACTTCAGTGACTTTCC